AGTCAGGATTGTCCTCATGACATTCTGTTGTTAGGTGACAGGGCTGGATTTTGCGCAGAGGCAAATTCGGCAGCTTCGCGTGCAGGGAAATTTTTGTCTCAGGCTGCTGGTCTAAAACTTGAGAGGTGGTGCGTGTGAAAATCCAAACGAGTTCAATGACGACATCCAAAGAATTTCCTCAAACCTTTGCCGCGCGTGCATCGATAACTGGCTTCATGTGCGATAGCACCTATCCTCGGCTTAACATTGACGACTGAGTCGTGGGACAAATCATGAAGATCCCTAACTTTCGATCTCAAATTTCGGTGGAGCTGTTCAAGTTGAGTGTGTTGGAGTTATGACAAAATCTGGGTCTAGTCCCTTTTGGGTTTAGCTTGCGATCGTAGGCCCCAGGTTGGACTGAGTTGCCCGCCAGCCAAAACATAGTACACCACCTGGATGGGAGCCAAGCGCGAGCTGTTCAGCGATGAATCTGAATGGAGTAGCATCTGATAAACAGCATGTGACTGTTCCGTTTAGGGATCCGAATTTGATACCTCGGTTCAGCATAGGGGCTCGGATGTCAGTCCTCATGGGTGACGTTAGATCGAGGAACACCTTACTAAGTGGTGGTGATGTTCAAAACTCAAAAACATCGCTCTGAGCACCTTCTAGTCTTAGCTACCACAAATCATTTAGGTCATACTTCAACAGCCTCGACGAATACCACAGACAGCACTCTGCTCATTCCACTTTGGAGCACAAGACCTTACAGCAAGATGAGCGAAAACTTAGCCTTCGATGTTGTAATCATAGGCGCAGGGATATCTGGAATCAATGCAGCCTACCGCATTCAAGACGACGGGCCGTCTGATCTTACCTACGCAATCCTTGAAGCCCGCGATTCTATCGGCGGAACCTGGGATTTGTTCAAGTACCCCGGAATTCGATCCGACTCCGATATCTTCACATTCGGATTTCCTTGGAATCCGTGGAAACATAGCGAGACTCTAGCTTCAGGTGGTATGATCAAGGATTACATGATTGAGTCGGCAAGGTCTGCCGGTATCAACCATCATATCTGCTACAATCATTCGGTCTCCGAGGCAAACTGGCTTTCTGACAAGAAGATGTGGGAACTACAAGTCACGAGACTTGGTGATAAGAAACCTGTTAGTTTTCAAGCTCGATTTGTCTTGCTAGGAACCGGATACTACAATTACGAAACTCCGATGGAAACCACAATCCCGGGAATCGAAAATTTCGAGGGAAAGGTCATCCATCCTCAGTTCTGGCCGGAGGACTACGATTACACCAACAAAGACGTTGTCGTCATTGGGAGTGGTGCCACTGCCGTCACCATTGTTCCTTCCATGGCCGACAAGGTGAAGAGAATCACAATGCTTCAACGAAGTCCAGGCTACATTTTCCCATTACCAGGACACAGTCATTTCACGACGATACTTTCCTCTCTGCTGCCCCTGAGTGTTGCCTACCTCTTCAATAGGCTGCTGTGGCTTTTTAAGAGCTACATTTCGAATTATTTCTGCCGGTCCTGTCCAGGCCTGGCAAAGAGAATTATCAAAAGTGTGACCATCAAGCAATTACCTCCGAGTGTGAGCTGGGATCCGCACTTCAAGCCGCGATATAACCCTTGGGATCAGCGGCTTTGTGCATCTTTGAACGGAGACTTCTTTGCTGCCATTCGTTCCGGCAAAGCAGACATCGTTACCGACAACATCAAGACAATCACGGCAAAAACCATCGAGCTCCAGTCTGGAACAACTCTTCACCCAGACGCAATCATTACTGCGACCGGTCTCAAGCTAAGATTTGGTGGTGGCATCAATTTCAAGGTCAACAACAGGCCTATCGTTGTATCCGACCGATATGCCTGGCGAGCGCTTATGCTCCAAGATGTACCCAATCTCTTCTTCATTTTTGGATATGAAAACGCATCTTGGACCTTGGGAGCCGATGTGGCTGCCCAGCTCTTTGTTCGCATATCCAACAAGATGAAGAACTGCGGCTATACGGTTGTAGTACCGCAGCTAGATACCTCGAAGGGTATGCAAACAAAGCCTATGATGAGTTTGAATTCGACATATTTGAAGAATGCTGGCTCAATCTTGCCTAAAGGAGGAACAGGGCAGTGGAGCCCGAAGTCGAATTATGTCTTGGACATGGCCGGTGCCAAATGGGGAGACGTTGTATCGGACTTGATATATTTGTGATCTTCATGCCAGTCTCTCTTGCATGAAACAAACACTTCCTACGTATCGCACAATTTAGGTGCCAGCGATCTGCAGCCGAGTAACAACGGGGGAGAAGCTACCTGCCTAATGTAACCGCGCCAAATAAGAGGCACGGACAGGCATACCTTCGACAATCGAACTGATCGCCATATGCACGTGTACATACAACCTTCCCATAGAAGACCAGTCAATCTACCCGATGATCTATCTTACTGCATGTGACTTTGAGCTAAGTGAAGGCAGAAGACAGATCGCCCCATTAGCTCCATTAGGGACTTGTTGTGGAGGTGGAAGAGTTTAAGAAGCAACTTAGGCATCACACAATGGAGCTTCGTTGAATTTTGTCAACTTTTGATAGATGCTCCGGGCGATCTGTCTAAGTATACGTACTGCATGAGTATTCACATGCAACATAATTTCCGTTTGTGAAACAATGGGTACTTTGACAAGGCAATCTGAAGACTTGTTGTTCAACTCTACCCAGTCATGCACGAAACCGCACACCAGATGGCCTCGGAGTCGTCGGTTAAAGCCGAGCAAGATCTAATTATTGTGGATCTCCTGCAAGCCAGCTCTGCATTACTTATGGTCGCACGTGGTGCTCCAATTTTCGTGGCTTGCGAGTGACTTGCGAGTGACGTCTCGCCGATCAATCTCCCAAAGCGATCGTGCCTCAGCTAGCGTGGTATGTTCTCGTTCAAATGGCAAAACCAGAAACAGGCTAAATGAGAAACTTCCTTCGAACATTATTGCTTTTGTCTAATTCCACACCTTTATCAAACTCAGAGTATATGTAATCCTGCGCTGGAGACAGCCTTAGAGACCTCCATCTTTTTCATTCCGAGCAACTACCGATTGACTACCAAGGCAACCTTCGCATTCAATTTCCACTCCAAAACTTCGTTTTTCTTCTCTATGACGAGTTCAACAACTAGTGGATCAGCCACATTAGCCGAGCCTGGTATTGTTGCCAATCTCACCACAGAACACGAACGCTGCCTTCAAGAGGCATGGATTCATCTTCTCCGGCTTTGTGGTTACGAGAAAGTGGGGGAAGGGGTGCCCGACAAAACCGATGAGTTTCTTCTCCACACCAAAAAGGATCAACCCGATGGTTTCAAGAATAGTCTCTGGGAATACATGTTCTGCGATAACCCAGATGCGCTCGTTCTTTGTTACCTCCGCGCTCGAAAATGGGACGTAGTTGAAGCAGTCAAAATGCTTGTCTCTACGGTTCATTGGAGAGTTGAACGGAAGATCAGTACGAATATCATCGAAGGTGGCGAGAGCGTTGGTTTGAAGCCAACAAGAAGTTCCGAAGAAGAAGCCCTCATGTTGCAGTATCGCTCTGGTAAGAGCTTCGTCCGGGGAAACGACAAACATGGGCATCCAATCTATATCGTCAGGGTCAAGCTTCACGATCCTCATACGCAACCGGTTCATGTCATGGAGTCTTACGCTCTGCATAACATGGAGATCTTGAGGATCATGGCCAAAAGTAGACAGAGTAAAGTTTGTCTGCTATTCGATCTGACCGGCTTTGGGCTTCGGAACATGGACTTTCCGTTGGTAAAGTTCCTGATGCAAATGTTTGAGGCGAGGTACCCTGAGACTTTGGAAGTGATTCTTGTCCACAATGCGCCTTTTGTGTTCTGGGGTAAGCTCAAACTCCGTCATTGTAGCGCTTGGTCATCTAATAATCACCAGGTATCTGGAAAATAATCAAGCATTGGTTAGACCCAGTCATTGCCTCTAAAGTCCACTTCACCAGCGGCAACAAAGCAATGCTCGAATTCATACCTCGCGACAATTTACAAAAGTGCTACGGAGGAGACGACGAATGGGAATACAAATACGTGGAACCCGTTTCGACAGAGAATGAGCAGCTGAACAATGTGGAGAAGAAAGTCGTGCTGCAGAAACAAAAGGGTGCTTTGATCGAGAAATTCAATCAATTGACGGTGGAGTGGGTATCATTGGAGCCAGAGGCTGGTGTGGCAAAAGCAAAGAATACTCAGAGATGCGAAGTTGCGCATGAGCTGGAACAGAATTATTGGCAGTTGGATCCATATAGTCGATCGACTACCTATTACGATCGAGTGGGTGTACTCATGCGCGATGGCGCTGTGGACTTCGGAGCAGCGCGATAATTTCAATTTGGGTAGACTTCAATGCAATGGGTACTGTTTGCAACATGTGCTTTTCCCGAACCCTTGTAAAATCAGGTACAATGACCGACCTTGCATCCCAGATCTGTGCATGTCCAGATACACATTTCACAACATTGGCACAAAAGCAATGCACCATCAACGGGTTATTTCCTGGGCGACTGTCACTAGTGCTGCCTATTTTGGCGCTTGTCTGTAGACAGACTAGCTTGCGAGCTACGGGTCGGACTTCCAATACCGAGCCGGGCCTTTCATCGCAACCGAAGGGAAAATTGCCAAGGATCACGATCGTCACAATGTAGGTGCACGTGCCCTACGGTAATCTGCGAAAAGGGGCTGGGGTAGGCACACCTGTAGAGAGCCCAATACGCGGGGAAGATATGCGGGGAAGAACAAAAAATGAGGTGTTCTGTGATGGCCAAACTGTATCTAGTGAGGAGACCGGTTTGGTACACACACGCTTGTGCATACTCCACAGCATCGGCTTATACATTGGTTCAGTAGCACGACCGGCTCAACTGCAAGCTTTGCAGCCAGGACCGATTTTACTTTGCAGCAATGAGGCTCGACAAGCTCTTCACAACGGCTTTACTGCCTGCCAGTCTTGTGTTTTGTGCTCCTCCGACCAATACTGTTGTCCCTCAACTTGAACTGCAACTAGTCGAGCTTCTGGAGAAGCACAATCTTGCTCTCGTGCCCCGATCGGAGCTCACAGATGCGTTGAAAGAGCTCAATGTTCTTCTCAAGAGTGAAGGGCTGCGGCCACCCATCCTGAATAAGCGACAAAACGCATGGAGCAACGATACTAGCTCTGGATCACAGCGCTCTGAATCAGCAGGGATTCTCTCCATTCCAGGCCTCGACGACCTCGGGAACTCCCTCACCGGCCTCACTGGTTTGCTCACCGAGACGAAAGACTTCTTCAGTGCTATCAAGGACCTGCTAAGCGCCGAATTCCTCCAGGCTTTCCATGATGCCATGGTCTACTTGGCCGCGACACTCAAACCGCCTGCCTCGGATCAAATCAGAAGCATTCTTGGGCAAGTCGGACCGCTTCTCGACCTGGTGGGCGAATTGGACCTGAAGTCTTTGGTCAATGAGATCAAGGGAGTCGACATCGCCGGCATTGTCAACAAGGTTATCAAGCTTCTGACCGATGATAACCTCAACAACATCAACACACTCTTGACCAACGGTGCGGGTCTTTTAACAAGCGACTTTGTAAACACGATAAAGACGCTTGTTCAAGATGTTGGCCCTCTACTTGGAGATATCTCGCCTCTTCTCAAGGAGCTTACACAGCTTGACCTTGCAGGTCTTCTGAATGCGGTCAAACCGCTACTTACTCAGGATACCATCAACAGTATTATCGGTCTCATTAAAAACGGTGGCAATCTCTTGACACCCGATTTTGTGGACTCAACCAAGACGCTGATTGAAGAGGTCGGCCCTCTCCTTGGCGACATTTCACCACTCTTAAAGGAACTCACCAAACTTGATCTTGAAGGCCTTCTGAATGCAGTCAAACCACTCCTGACTACGGATTCCGTTAATGCTATTGTCGGGCTGGTCAAAAATGGTGGTGACTTGTTAACACCCAACTTTGTCAACTCGACTAAGACCCTCATTGAGGACGTTGGTCCTCTTCTTGGCGAAATTTCACCGCTGCTAAAGGAGCTTACCAGCCTTGATCTTGAAGGACTTTTGAACTCAGTCAAACCGCTCCTTACTACAGAATCAGTGAACGCTATTGTTGGACTGGTCAAGAACGGAGGTGATTTGTTAACACCCAGTTTCGTCGATTCGACTAAAAACCTCATCGAGGACGTTGGTCCCCTTCTTGGTGACATCTCGCCGCTGTTGAAAGAGCTCACAAAGCTTGATCTTGAAGGCCTCCTCAACGCAGTGAAGCCTCTCCTCACGGAAGAATCGATTGGGGATATCGTTAGCTTAGTCAAGAACGGCGGCACACTGTTATCACCCGATTTCGTCAAGCAAACACAGGCTCTTATTGGCGAAGCGTCACCTTTGATCGAAAAGCTTTCCGAGATAGACCTCAAGGGAGTCCTTGATACACTATCCCCGATTCTCACCAAGGAGTCGATCCAGAGTCTTGTAAGCTTGCTACAGAACGCTGGATCGTTGTTATCAAAGGACACCGTTACAAACATCCAAACACTTCTATCGAGTGCAGGCCCTCTTATCCAGGAACTTGGTAAACTCGATTTGCAAGGTGTTTTGGAAGCACTTTCCCCGATCCTTACTAAAGAAGCTATCCAGAGTCTTGTGGGCTTGCTACAGAACGCCGGATCTTTGTTGACAAAGGACACTGTTACCAATATCCAAACTCTCCTATCGAGTGCAGGCCCCCTTATCCAGGAACTTGGTAAACTCGATTTACAGGGTGTCCTACAGGCACTTTCTCCAATACTTACCAAAGAAGCCATTCAGACTCTTGTGGATCTTTTGCAGAACGCAAGTACCCTGTTGTCGCAAGATACAGTGGGGAACATAAAATCATTGCTGTCAAGTGCCGGACCTTTGATTGAAGAGCTGGGTAAACTTGATCTGCAGGGTGTTCTCGAGGCACTGTCCCCAATACTTACAAGAGACGCAATCCAAGGCATCCTGAATCTGTTGCAGAATGCAGAATCGCTCTTGTCTCAGGAAACAGTTACAAATATCAGGTCATTGCTATCAAGTGCTGGACCCTTAATCGAAGAGCTTGGCAAGATCGACCTGCAGGGTGTCCTCCAGGCTTTATCTCCATTACTCACTTCGGACTCGATCAAAGGAATACTGGGGCTCTTAAGCAACGCGGAAGACCTTCTTTCTCAAGAATTCGTCTCACAGACCAAAACACTTATCTCGAGGGCATCTCCATTGCTCGATAGCCTTGGTAAGATCGACTTGCAGGGTGTGCTCGAGGCACTGTCTCCACTACTCACCTCAGACTCGATCAAGGGCATACTTGCTCTTCTCGGAAACGCCGAGGATCTTCTCTCCCAGGATTTTGTCGCACAAACTAAGACCCTTATCTCGAAGGCATCGCCACTTCTTGATAGCCTTAGCCAAATCGATCTGCAGGGTCTTCTGGATCAAGTCTCTCCGCTTCTCAACAGCCTCAGCAAAATCGATTTGCAGAGTCTTTTTGAGGCATTATCGCCGCTTCTTACCACAGACTCAATCAAGGGCATACTCGACCTCCTTAGTAATGCAGAGAACCTTCTGTCCCCAGACTTTGTCCTCCAGACAAAGACTATTATCTCGAAAGCTTCCCCACTACTCGACAGCCTCGACAAGGCTGATCTTGCAGGGCTCCTGGATCAAATTAGTCCTTTAGTGAAGGAGATAAGCAAGCTGAACTTGGAGGAACTTCTCAAATCACTCGGACCTCTGCTCTC